GGCTGCTATTCTCTTCTATCTTTTCATGATTGGGACTATAGGCCCTTTTGATGTTATTTTTTGATAAAACACTCAATAGCAAAAAAAAATAAATAAAAAAAAAACGGCTGTTTGTTGCTGTGTCTGATCTAACATTGCGGCCAACATCCTAAAGCTAGTTTTAAATAAATGTGCAATTATCAATAACAAAGTGAAAGTCTCAAGTTTCCAAATATACAGTGGGTACGGAAAGTATTCAGACCCCTTTAAATTTTTCACTCTTTGTTATATTGCAGCCATTTGCTAAAATCATTTAAGTTCATTTTTTTCCTCATTAATGTACACACAGCACCCCATATTGACAGAAAAACACAGAATTGTTGACATTTTTGCAGATTTATTAAAAAAGAAAAACTGAAATATCACATGGTATTCAGACCCTTTGCTCAGTATTTAGTAGAAGCACCCTTTTGATCTAATACAGCCATGAGTCTTTTTGGGAAAGATGCAACAAGTTTTTCACACCTGGATTTGGGGATCCTCTGCCATTCCTCCTTGAAGATCCTCTCCAGTTCTGTCAGGTTGGATGGTAAACGTTGGTGGACAGCCATTTTTAGGTCTCTCCAGAGATGCTCAATTGGGTTTAAGTCAGGGCTCTGGATGGGCCATTCAAGAACAGTCACAGAGTTGTTGTGAAGCCACTCCTTCATTATTTTAGCTGTGTGCTTAAGGTCATTGTCTTGTTGGAAGGTAAACCTTAGGCCCAGTCTGAGGTCCTGAGCACTCTGGAGAAGGTTTTCGTCCAGGATATCCCTGTACTTGGCCGCAGTCATCTTTCCCTCGATTGCAACCAGCCGTCCTGTCCCTGCAGCTGAAAAACACCCCCACAGCAGGGTGCTGCCACCACCATGCTTCACTGTTGGGACTGTATTGGACAGGTGATGAGCAGTGCCTGGTTTTCTCCACACATACCGCTTAGAATTAAGGCCAAAAAGTTCTATCTTGGTCTCATCAGACCAGAGAATCTTATTCAGGTGTTTTTTAGCAAACTCCATGCGGGCTTTCATGTGTCTTGCACTGAGGAGAGGCTTCCGTCGGGCCACTCTGCCATAAAGCCCCGACATGCACTGTGAGCTGTAAGGTCTTATATAGACAGGTGTGTGGCTTTCCTAATCAAGTCCAATCAGTATAATCAAACACAGCTGGACTCAAATGAAGGTGTAGAACCATCTCAAGGATGATCAGAAGAAATGGACAGCACCTGAGTTAAATATATGAGTGTCACAGCAAAGGGTCTGAATACTTAGGACCATGTGATATTTCAGTTTTTCTTTTTTAATAAATCAGCAAAAATGTCAACAATTCTGTGTTTTTCTGTCAATATGGGGTGCTGTGTGTACATTAATGAGGAAAAAAAATTAACTTAAATGATTTTAGCAAATGGCTGCAATATAACAAAGAGTGAAAAATTTAAGGGGGTCTGAATACTTTCCGTACCCACTGTATGTAACAATTTCAGGGACTCTTATTAGTTACAGTACATAAATCTGCAACCTTCTGAATGCTATTTGAACTAGAAGATACACTAATATTTAAATAAAAAAAGTTTTATGTATCTAATGAGCATCCTTGAAACTGTGACATATATTTGGAGACTTCAAATTTTCACATTGTTAAAGGTGATTGTCACACATTTATTTCCCCATATTAGGAGGAGACAAGATAATGTGCCCTTTGAGTAAGATTATCCTAATCCAACATCACCTCATCCACCTCCCTAAGCCAACATTTGCTGCCATTTACTTATCTAGTATGTACATGAATGTTACTTAAAATATCCTGTTTTATCAAAATTTTGCATATCGATATTACTATTGCCCCTATTTTTACATTTTATCACAATTGTCTCCTGTGGAACTTTAACTTTCAATTTCGAAATAAATTACCCTTATGACTGGTTTTGTGGTCCAGGGTAACATTTATAAAATGTATTCATAAAAATGAAGAACATTGTCATATATCAAAAGTTAAACATATATATGAAACCTATTAAACATTGGAACAATTTCATAGCATTTATATAGCCCATACAAATATGTATGTTTATGTATATGTAATACAATACTCTTGATATCATTTCCGTATGGAAATTGAACCATACAGCAGCGACTGTCTTCTCTGGACAAAGTAAAGTGCTTTCATTCTAACAAATGGGTCTTTAGCTGAGGCGATAGTGACAATCTCTAACCTACAGACATGGTTTTTGGGTTCTTTGTTTTACTATCACACAATAATAGCTTGGACATTCTGGTCTATTCATAGATTTATATGAGGGTAGGATAATGGAAGTATCTGTGTGTGTCTTGCATTGAATTAACGGCTATCTGTAGCATGCAATGCGATTTCTGTGGTCACAGTATTGTCCCAATATCATAGAAAGCAAATTCTTCAGAGAATAGGCTCCAGTGCTTTATTCAAAAAACAATGTTTGCTTCATTTATGCAGTAGGCTGTTTGTTCAGTTCCAGTTCTTGCGTGTGCCCTGATCTTTTTGGATTTGTGCTCAGGCAGTAGTAAACAAAGATAAGCATGTAGGTATTCTTATGTTCGTGATGAAAGAGAGGTACTTACCCAGCTATCTAAATAATGCAAATGTAATTACAGATCTCAGTTCAGTGCTATTTGTATGGAAATACATTGTCTGGGAAAGAAATGGGCATTTGGCAATTTACTCAAGGACTTTACTTTTGTGTAATATGATGTCAGAACATCATCTAGAATTTTTTTTTTAAATGCTTGTAATGTGGTTTTCAGTGTAGATGAATGGGCCATGTGTGACTCATGGGCCGAGACGACAAGCTTATGTATGTGGTGTAGGAGCAAATGTAGGATGTACGTTGATACGGTGCATGTGTTACCCAGGTGTAGGATGTTTGATGCTGGCCGGCACTCTAGCCCTCTCCAGCAGAGCTCCTGCCACTTCATCTCAACCGCCTCTTGGATTTCAAGTCTTCATCACCAAGGAAACGGTTTCATGATTGGCCAATCTCTCGCTCTCCCTCCGTGTGTGTTTTGCTCTGTCTGCATTTCACTCACGCTCTCCCCCGCAGCCCAGCCGAAGGGGTAGGAGGTGTTGAGGGGGTGACATCACTAACAGAGCCAAACTTCTGCTGATCACGATATCTGTGGCATTTGGCGGCCTGAGGTCGGAGTCATAAACAAACACACAAACACATTTCTCAGAGATCACCCACTGTTTGATCTCACGTCTCTCAGACATCTCATTATTGCTGCCTTCACAAGCTATCTGAATTAATCATAGTTTCCTAGACATTGGACATGAATGGCCTCTAAAGTCATTAATGACTGGGAAACTTGGAGAACTTGGGCAGTCTATAAACTTTAAGCATGGCGGAGTGGAGAGCAATTACTGTAGTGACTGGTATTTTTATTCATTTTTTACCACAACAGCTACATTGCCTTGTCTTGACGTTGAAGGCTTGTATTTTACATATATAAATAACCAATATATGCATATTGTATGTTTTATACACAGCGTAAATAACATGTATTTGATTCCAGAATTGTCAGCAAGCTGCCTATCTAGTGCAGTAAGAGTATAAACTAGAGTGGCTTATGTATGTTTGACAACATACAGGAAGCTAGACATTTATGATAGCAAAGCACTTGGACTCATAATTACGGCTTCAGAATTGGGAATCAGGAAATTTCCTATAGCACATGAAGGCAACATATGTCCTGCCTGTGTAAACAAGCCACTTAGGAGGCCATTTTGGCATTTGCATTTTTTTCCATTTGTAAGATGGTTTAAATGGAAGCCCTTTAAAATGGTTTAAATTGTGTGTGCAGTGTGGGCTGTGTGAGTTTGTGAATGTGTTGTGTGTATGTGTGTCATGCTGGACAGTTTATATATGCATGTTAATCATGACGAGCAAAAAGAAGAATAAACACCTTCAAGAAGGCTGTGCAGGGGTGAGATGAGTTGAGTTTCGTGGTTGTGCATATGTCGGGGAGGGGGAAAGTGAGGGAGTTTAAATGAAGGGATCTTGCTGTTGCCTGGCTACCAGCAGGTGCTGTTCCATCGCTCTCGTCTCCAGCCACCTCTCCCACATGAGCAGCCTGCACCAGTCAATGAGCATGTTCTCTTTCTGTCTTCCTCTACCCCCATTTCTACATACACGTGCACTTGTGCAGTGGACAACAGTCGCAGACACTATTGAAGCAGCTCTTTTTTTTGTAATCGCAGAGCCTTTTTCAGCTTTGCGTCTGTGAAGGCGAGAGGATAGCAGACATGGAAAGCCTGTGCTGGTTCAGCAGATATCACAATAAACCAAAGGTAGGAGCTGCCTCAGCTCAATGGGACAGGAATGGAACAGAATGCGGGTGTCTTGAGACATGTATTTGAAAGTTGAACTGTTTTTACTTAACACGAATGGGCCCAAATGGAGCTTAGAAGCAACTGAGTGAGGTCTGGTATTATTAGGTCTAAAGATTTCACTCAGTTACATATGGTTTTGTTTTGTTTTTCAGTCTTAATGTTTATCTCATTGTAAGCTGCTATTTAAATATTACAGTCAGATTAATGTTATTTAGATGTATGTTAAAGTCGCTGTGTAATGATAGTTGAAGCAACAGATCATTTCTTCCGTATTGTGACATACAGCCGAGTGAAATGGATTATCCAAACAGGAATTTTTTTTAGGTTCTATCCATTGGTTGTTCATTGGATAAAGGTTTTAGTCGATTGGTTGTAGTTGAAGGACTAAATGATTGGAGAAGTCTGGCATTCATCACTAGAAGATTGAGTTATTTGAACATGATGTATTCTTTGCTGAATTAGGTGATTGCGTTAAAATGCCCAAATTAATATTTATTCCTTTAATATAACATCAGTGAAACTACAAAGCTGGCACAGAGGTATGTATAATTACAGTGCAAAATAGGATAAAACTTTGTGAGAATGTTGTTGCTACAGCTCCAGGTCTCTATTACGTCTTTTGTTTACTCTTTGCTGATATAGCCTAGTGCACTCAACTGTCATGCACTATATAGGGATTAGAGAATGAGTGAACAAGTGAGTGATATCGGACAGAGCAAGAGAGTCAGCAATGAGGGTCTATTCGACTCTGAATCTAGAGTTATTCAGAATCAACTATTTTGGACTCACTAACTTTTATGTCTGTTTTCACAACCCCACACCTGTGTTTTTTATATGATTGCTGAGATCAATGGACATGTTGCAGATCCTCAGTGGTGTTACTGGCATCTCTTCGCCCAGGTAAAGATGTCTCAGGTGAAGCAGGTTGGCCTGTTGGCCGCTGGATGCCAGCCCTGGAACAAAGACGTGTGTGCTGCCAGTGGGGACAGGTTTGCGTATTGTGCCACGCTTGCCATATATGTGTACCAAGTAAGTGCAAACTATTGACTGTGAACTGAGGTAAACCATAGTCTGTCAATGAAGAAAATGACTCTTTCTTCACCCAAAAATTCTGTCATCATTTACTCACCCTCATGTCGTTCCAAACCCATAAGACTTTTGCTCATCTTCAAAACACAAAAAGCTATTTTTAATGCAACCTGAGAGTTTTAATAAGAGTCTAAACATTGATCAATGCATATACATAGAGCGCATCTAATATGGTATATGGAAGCTCAAACGTGTTTGCTTGACACGCGAGAACCAGCGCGGTTTGATCTATTCATATGAATGACTTTTACAATGCCTTTATTAACATTTTGAAGTTTTGGTGGAATGGATTTTTAATGGCGGGACAGAAATCTCTCAGGTTTAATTAAAAATATTCTTATTTGAATTTGAATTTTTCTGGTGAACCCTGTAACATCCTACAAATGTGACTTACATTTTGAATTCAGGCTTGAATTATTATTATTTTTTTTAAATGGCACTGATTGAAGTCTGTCTTTCTAGCTTGATCACAGATATAATGAATTTAAGCTGCAAGCAATCATGTCTGAACACAAAAAGACAATCACAGCTATATCGTGGTGTCCACTCAACCCTGAGGTGTTTGCCAGTGCTAGCGCTGATAACCTGCTCATCATCTGGAATGTAGCTGAGCAAAAGGCGGTTACACGGCTTGACAACACCAAAGGTACCGGTTCCAACACACTTTAATTAGTATCCAAAGAAATACACACCACCTCAGGACTCATATTCCACCTGACAGCATGTGTCCTCCAAGACATCACTCAAAATGCCTGTTTCTGTTTGCGATTAATTCATGTGAGTTCTTGTACTTGCCTAAACGGGTGTTTTTCAGGTATCCCAGCTTCTCTAAGCTGGTGCTGGAATGCAGGTGATAGCATTGCGTTTGTATCCCACCGGGGTCCTCTGTATATATGGACCATCTCTGGGCCAGACCTAGGAGTCACAGTGCACAAGGAGGCTCACAGTTTCCTCTCAGATATCTGCCTGTTCCGCTGGCATCCACTGAAGAAGGGAAAAGTGGTATTTGGACACACTGATGGCAGTTTGTCCATTTTTCAACCAGGTAACATGACTTCTGATGTTGGTTCATGTTTGTTTTTTTATACAAAAAACATGTCATTTCAAACCTTTATCCATTTCTTTCTTCCGCGGAACACAAACAAAGATATTTTGAAGAATGTTAGCCAAACAATTTTCACCAAACACTGACCTTGTATCTGAACATGCCTACTTCAATACTATAAACGGTAGTGGATTAAAAATAGTATATGAGGTGAATGGTATGTTCAGAATTCATAGAGATTTAAAAGTGTGCATCCAATGAACACTTTACTATCCCATGAGGCCACGACAGAGGACTTGTGAATGGCAGAGAAGCGACACGCCATAGGTCACATGACAGTGAAAGCATGGCGAATATAGGTTTACATTAATTCTATATAGAACATACTTTTTTTGTGGTCACAAAGTAAGTTTTAAACCGAATGTTGTATCTACTATGCAATTTCGGAGGCTGCCACAGAGGAAGAAAGAAAGTCATACAGGTTTGGACTAACATGAGGATGATTAAATGGACTTAATTTTCATTTTTGGCTGAATCTGTTTATTACAAAATACTAAAATCTAACGTGACATCAACATACTGCAATGTGCACAAGACTAACATGCAAAATAACTTGCAGTTCTTTTAATTATATTACTTTAGGCTCAAAGAATCAGAAGCATGTACTGCGTCCCGAGTCATTAGAAGGCACAGATGAAGAGGACCCCATCACAGCTCTAGAGTGGGACCCTCTCAGCACAGACTACCTGCTGGTGGCCAACATGCACAATGGCATCAGACTGCTGGACTCTGAATCTCTATCCTGCATCACAACCTTTAGTTTCCCCAGTGCTGCTGCCTCTGTGCAATGCCATAAAATTTGTGGCGTATGCCAATTTTAATCACAATAAACTGCCATGTAAACACCTTAACACGCTTCGTTTTCACTCTGAACAAAAGTGTGTCAGACGTACACAGATGATGTGTGCTGTTCACACAACTCCATGAATGAACTCTGTGTCAGAGTTTCTAAAGTTTTCCCTCAAAAACGCTGAACTGTCAGCACAACAATTGGCAGTAAAAATAACCACACCTCATAGAAAATAATCAGAATAATGAAAATTGCATGTAAACGGGAGTGAAGAGGTTTGCTCATGTCATGTAAACTTCTTAGTCCTTACTCTAATTAATTGAAGTAAGCAGATTATTGGTGCACAAGTAAACATAGTCAATGTTGTCATCTCTCTTTTAGCCTTTAGCTCGAATTCCCCTTCCAAGAATCACTACACCTCCTCCACTAGCGAGGCTGTGCCTCCACCTACTCTTTCGCAGAACCAGGCCTTCTCCCTCCCACCCGGCCACGCTGTCTGCTGTTTCATGGATGGGGGGGTTGGACTATATGATATGGGCACCAAAAAGTGGGACTTCCTTCGGGATCTGGTAGGAAAAGTGACATGTTGTTACCTGTGGGCTAACATATATTGAAAAACCTTAAAATGATTATTATAGTTTTTATATTTAATATCATGAAAGTACTCTATACTTAAAAAAGACAGGGAATTTTTTTAGGTTATATTGTAATTATACAGTGAATGCATTGATGCAAGCACCTAAAGCTTAAAATTATGCTTTATATTAGTCATCTTGCTGTTGAAGAGGTGCCCTTCAGTCCTTGTGCTGATTTTAAAGGTCACCTGATCAATTCAGCAAGTATACATGTTATTTTCTCTGACAAACAGCTCTTTAAGTTGCCTTGTTTGTTATTACTGACAAAGAAAATGCAACAAAACCTTTTCAACCCATTGTTAAGTAAACAATAATTGACCCCTGAATTATCATAAATGAATGCACACCTGAGGTGATAATACGCCCACAATACAAAGCAAAATGTTCAGACCTCGGGTGTGCATTAATTTTCTGAAGTGGTCCTGCATTCATTTTCAATAAGCAATCAGACTGAACTCAATTATTTTGTTTATACCACTAATACCATGTGTACTTATGGTTATTTCAAGACACAAGATACAAATTTTCAAGATACATTACCACATATTTTTACTGTATTTCAATTCAGTTTCAATTTTGTCACCGAATCAGAATCTGAATATGCTACTATATAATATAATATTATAGTTTTTAGAAATATTCTCAATTAGCTTTTATTTTTTATATTTCCTTATTTAATTTTATTTTAGTTTAAAGGTGACATATCATGAAAATCTGACTTTTCCAGGTTTTAAGTGCTATAATCAGGTCCCCAGTGCATCTACCAACCAAGGAAATGTGAAAAAGATTGACCCAGTAACTTTGGGAATACTTTCGCAAACTTTTTGTGGCTATTTTCAGAAAGCCCTTTTCTGCAAGCGTCTGAGAAAACGAGCGCGTCTGATTTCGCTCGCTTGGTGACGTGGCAAAGCGATCTCATTACAATATTACCGCCCCTTAATCTGAAAGTTTACACCCACGGCGCCGTTATTGTGTTTTGCAAGCGATAACGGTGTTCTAGTTCTAATGCCATGGCAAAAGTTTGAGCAAAACATGTTAACTGTTCTGTCATTGGCTGCACAGACGAGCACAGAACACTGTTTAGAGTCCCAGCATCACAGGAGACAACAGAGCAGTGGATTTATCAATTTATTTACTGTATATTGCTGCTGCCACACAGATCTAAAACAAACATGCGATTTATTTTCCCAGCTGTTTACATTCACAGACATAACTGACTGTTTTTGTAACTCATTTGTGTTTTTAACGTAAACTTCTGTGTGAATAAGAACTTAGTTTAGTACTCACATGCTGTGACAGCTGCTTTCTGTCCGTGAGCTTCGGATGTGTGCACTCAGAAAACCGTATATCAGAAGTTTAAACTCATATGGTTTAAAACACATGATTTCAGCCCGATAAATATGATAATCTGAACCAAAACAGATGTTTTAGCAGATACAAGAGCTGTAATGGCGCAGCTCTATTCTGGAAAAGGGGGCGGGGAGCAGCAGCTCATTTGCATTTAAAGAGACCGCCACGAAAATTAGCATGTTTCTACTTCCACTCAAAATAGGCATTTTCAAAATTATATAATAAATAATCTGTTGAGTATTTTGAGCTGAAACTTCACAGACACATTCTGGGGACACCAGAGACTTATATTACATATTGAAAAAGCACATATTGTAATTTTGTGCTTTTATAATCTTTATTAATTTGTGTTTTTACATTTCTATTTAGCTTTCATTTATTTGTATTCTAGTTTTAGTAATTTTACTACTTAAATTTATTTTGTTTCAGTTAGTTGCCAAGGCAAGGCAATATTTCTCATTTTCATTTCATAAAATTCTATAAGCTTTTCATCTAATATTTATATTTTATTTCAGTTTTATGTCAATTAATAAACACAACTTTTTTAAGAGTTTTGTTTTAACTAACAATAATAACATTGAAATCAGGAATGCAATCATAATGATTATACAATTATAATACTAGCATGAATGGTTTTATGACTTAATTACATTCTTTTTGTCACAGGGTCATGTTGAAACCATCTTTGACTGCAAATTCAAGCCAGATGACCCAAACCTTCTAGCTACAGCTTCATTTGATGGGACTATAAAAGTTTGGGATATAAACACCTTAACTGCTGTGTACACATCTCCGGGAAATGAGGGAGTGGTTTACTCGCTGTCGTGGGCCCCTGGTAAGAACAATACACAGGCCTTGTTATCATTAAAGTCTCAGAGAGGTTTTGTTTTTGTGGCTATTCATGAAACTCTTTTCTTCATTTCTCTTTTTCCACTGTAACCTGAAGGAGACTTGAACTGCATAGCAGGAGCCACATCAAGGAACGGTGCCTTCATTTGGGATGTAAAAAAAGGAAAAATAATCACAAGATTTAATGAGGCAAGGATTGAACAAAATTTTAGTTCTTGTTTTTTTATTGAACTCTGGTTTATACAGAGTTCTAACAGTTAATTATTTAGAATGAATAACTTTAAATTATGATTTTTAATTTACATTTCTATTGTTATTTTAATTGCACAATATTCACAATTAGCATGGGTCTTTATTTTGACTGCAATTGTGTTGCAGCATGGGAAGAATGGTATTTTTTGCGTTGCCTGGAGCCATAAAGATTCCAAAAGAATAGCCACATGCAGTGGTGATGGATTTTGGTAAGCCTGTTTCAATTTTGAAAAGTATTCTCAAGTTTCTGCTTAGTCCATCTGTCATGAACTGCACAGTGACACGAAGATAGAGGTTCCAAACGAAGTATAATTAATGAAGGGGTAATCCACAATCAAGGTCCAGAAACAGGCACAAGATCATACACACAAGCAATCAGTCCAGACAATAACAACAGGGCAAAATCACAGGCTAAAGGGTAACCCAAAATCAGGCAGAGTAACAAGACCAGGAACCAAGACATAGACGACACAGGAAACCAGGCTTAGAAATGCAGTTGACACTAGCAAGGCTGAACCAGGCTTATATAGAGTGAGCAGATAGGGTTAACTAGGGTTAACAGTTGCAAAGAATGAGTGCTGAGGAGTCCGGGCAAAGGATTATGGAAAATGAAGTCCAAGACTGAGTGACAGAGGTGTGGGAGGGAGTGCCCTCTGGTGGTTATCATCCGTGTTATGAAGCCATATTATCCTCATAGACATGACATTCCGAATTGTCTTTTTTCTTTCAGTATAATTCGAACCCTTGATGGCAAAGTGTTGCACAAATACAATCATCCAGCAGCAGTATTTGGCTGTGATTGGAGTCAAAATAACAAGTATGTATATTAACCAGTTTCAAAAACAGATGTCAGAATTTTTTTACCAGTGTTATTTTCTCTTGTGATCACAATTATAATACATTGTGTGTCAGTCTTTCTCTCACTCTCTCTCGCTCTCTCTCGCACTCACACAGAGATATGATTGCCACTGGCTGTGAAGACAAGAATGTTCGAGTCTATTATTTGGCCACCAGTTCAGACCAGCCACTAAAAGTCTTTACAGGTCACACGGCCAAAGTATTCCATGTGCGTTGGTCACCTCTCAGAGAGGGCATACTGTGCAGCGGCTCAGATGATGGGTAATAATTCCATCAAAATCTTCATTTACACTCTTTATATTTTTTTAAATAAACTAATACTTTTATTCAGCAAGGACATATTAAATTGATTAAAAGTGACAGTAAACACTTTTACATAGTTACAGAAATCTTTTTTTTAAATAAATTCTGTTCTTTTGACATTTTCCACAAAAATATTAAGCACAACCATTTTCAACAGTGAGTATAATAGTAAATGTTTCTTGAGCAGCAAATCAGAATATTACAATGATTTCTTAAGGATCATGTTACAATGACGAATGGGGTAATACCTGCTGAAAATTCAGCTTTGACATCACACGAATAATTTACATTTTAAATAATGTATTAAAAATAGACAATAATTGTTATTTAATCGTAAAATATTTCACAATATTACTGTTTTTACTATATTTTTGTTCAAATGAATGCAGCCTTGGTGAGGATTAGAGGATTCTTTAAAAAAAACAGTGGTGTACATGGATTCAATAGCATTAAAAATTATAATTCTCAAATGTTATTTGTATTTATCTTCATAGACATTTTTGCGTACTTAATTAGAAAAACATGTTCTAAAATAATTGTATAATTAAATATAATAAAAAATAAAAATAGTATAACTAAATGAATCATTCATCAAATTTGATTGTTAAATAAAATAGCTTTGATTTACAGTTTTTGCTGAAATTTGAAAAAAAAGAAAAGAAAATATTTTCTTTTTCCTGATGCACTTTATTCTCTGTACATTTTAATGCTAATGAAACCTGGTATTTCACTATTTGTGCAATAAATGGTACCCATATAATTAGCCTATAAAGCCTGCAATGAGCTGCCATGCAAATCGTCCTATTTATATCATCCTGCTATTAAAAACTTGGAATAAATTAATCATGGCTGACTGTGAAAAGGGGAATTCCACTATGTCACTGTGAATTTATGTGTGATGTTACATTCACATCCCCGTCAGTGTTCAAAACAACATAAACCAAAAGACCACTTAAAGCACCTTTAACTTGTATGCATTTCTGTGTGCATGTCAACTAGGACTGTCCGTATCTGGGATTATACCCAAGATGCCTGCATTAACGTGCTGAGTGGCCATACCGCTCCAGTACGGGGTCTCATGTGGAATACAGAGATTCCGTACCTTTTGACCTCTGGGAGCTGGGACTACACCATCCGTGTCTGGGACACCAGAGACGGCACCTGTCTAGACACTGTATATGACCATGGAGCTGATGTCTATGGTAGGGAATTAAATGTATATGCTGCAGACAAAATTATGATTTTATACATTGTGGATGAATTTGACACATAGACTATTTTCTTTTGAAGTGTTCAAAAACTGGGTACACTGTGATAGCTAGACACAGTTGACTGATTCAAGTTATATTAATGGAGGCAGGAAAGGCAGAACATTAAATAGTTAAGAGACCTAAATATGTAACAGGAACACTTATTTTTATCCAAGGACTGTCTTTTTGTAGAATTATGCATACAGTAATAGGAACACTCATACATCATTTTGTGTCATTCCAATGTAATAATATGTTATTTATGCAGCCTTGTCAACCGTATAAAATCCCCCAGGTCTGACATGTCACCCCAGCCGTCCGTTCACCATGGCTTCCTGCTCCAGAGACTCTACGGTCAGACTTTGGTCACTCACTCCTCTAATTGCTCCCTTAGTGGTCAACATCCTTACTGACCACAGCTGGGATGACATCATTGGCAACACAGGTTAAAACACATTCACACATTATATACTGTCTGTATGTGTTGGTTTTATAAAGACATTAAAACATTTATCTATTGAGTGTAGATCGTGCCATGGTGCCTGGAGCTCCTCCCCTCCTATGTGGAAAAATGTCCAAAGATATCAAACAGGAGCTGGATAAACTCTCTAGTGACGTCCGCATGAAGAAGCTCAGATGGTTCTCTGAGTGTTTCTCAGTGAGTGAATCTCAGCACAGAACTTTTACAGGACTTTATTTAGGAATCTAAATAATAGGCTATTTGTTCTCTATTTTTAGCCACCAGGTGGGAGTCATAACCTTTGGGATCTGGTTGCTGTAATCAACGGACAGGATGATAGTCTTCTTCCACAGAACTATGGACAGGGCATCATGCATATGAAACATCTGGTCCGCTTCAAAACTGTGAGTGGATAAATAGTGATGTAACGTTCTAATAGTGTCACAACTAAAATGTAAAATGAAGTCCTGCAAGCTTCTGGTGAATAGTATGTTGTCAATACTTCTTTAGTATTTTATATTAAGTTTTTGGACTGTGTCTGTCTTTCCTGTAGTCTGAAGCACAGGAGCTAACTATAGTAAAGATGTCAAAGTTTGGGGGTGGTATTGGAGCGCCTAGTAAAGAGGAAAGGCTCAAGAATGCAGCAGAAATCCATATCAGACTTGGTCAAATCCAGAGATACTGTGAGCTTATGGTGGAACTAGGAGAGGTAAAGACTGAAAAGACATGTAAAGTTTTTTTTAATAAATTCATTACATCAATATGCTGCTTAAGTAATCTATTTAATTACATATCAATAGTTGCTGATGGGTCAGGGTTTAATTGTTGATTAATTGTGTTTATTGTTTTATTTCATTAATAATGCTAAAGTAACCATTGACGGCCCTAATAAATTGATATTCATGCGCTACCATTCAAATGTTTGGGGTCAGTAAGATTTTTTTATGTTTTTGAAAAAATGTCTCTCTTTCAAGGCTGTCTCTCTCAAGGCTGCATTTATTTGATTACAAATACAGTAAAAAGAGTAATATTGTAAATAAAGTGAGTGAAGTGACGTGTGACCAAGTATAGTGACCCATACTCAAAATTTGTGCTCTGCATTTAACCCATCCAAGTGCACACACACAGCAGTGAACACACACACACACAGTGAACACACACCCGGAGCAGAGGGCAGCCAATGCTGCAGCGCCCGGGGAGCAGCTGGGGGTTCGGTACCTTGCTCAAGGGTCTCACCTCAGTTGTGGTATTGAGGGTGGAAGAGAGCGCTGGTTATTCACTCCCCCCACCGACAATTCCTGCTGGACATGAGACTTGAACACACAACCCTCTCTATCTTGTCATGATTGGTTGCAGCAAGGATGAGAAGAGCAGGATCTATACACAGCAGTTATATTATTAAATGCAAACTAAAAGCTACAAAACCTTCAGAAGACACAAACAGAACAACTGGTATGCACAGACAAGATTAGACCATGAACCGAACAAACACAGGGCTATATATATACACAAAAACAAACTAATCAATGAAAGGAGACACATGTACATGAAATCAATCATACACTGAATTAACAAGGAAACAAAATCAAACACAGGAAACAGCACCTAGAAATATGCAAAAACCAACTCAAAACAAACTCAAGCACAGATCAAATGGGACATAGCTGAATTTTCAGCAGCCATTACTCCCGTTTTCAGTGTCACATTAACCTTCAGAAATCATTCTACTATGCTGATTTCTTGTTAAAAAGATTTTCTTATTAATATCAGTGTTGTAAACAGTTGTGCCGCTTCATATTTTTGTGTAAATTGTGATAAGTTTTTTTAAAGGATTTTTTTATAAATAAAAAAGTTCAAAAGAACAGCATTTATTTGATATAGAAATCTTTTGTAAGATTAAAGGTGTCGATTAACCTTCAGAAATCATTCTACTATGCTGATTTCTTGTTAAAAAGATTTTCTTATTAATATCAGTGTTGTAAACAGTTGTGCCGCTTCATATTTTTGTGTAAATTGTGATAAGTTTTTTAAAGGATTTTTTTATAAATAAAAAAGTTCAAAAGAACAGCATTTATTTGATATAGAAATCTTTTGTAAGATTAAAGGTGTCTTTACTGTCATTTTGATCAATTTAATGCACCCTTGCTGAATAAAATTATTTACTTATTTATTCTTACTGACCCAGTTTTCTCATATGTGTGGTTATCACTTTTCTTTCAGAACTAATTTTCTGATAATTTTGGATATTTATGATGTTTTGTTTTATATGTTTAGTGGGAGAAGGCTCTTTCTGTGGCCCCTGGTGTCTCCATGAAATACTGGAAAAAGCTCATGCAAAGGTATCCCATATACTCCATTCTATTTTTAAATCAGTTGTGAGTGAATTACCATTCATTAACTGCTTAATGCAGAAGAGCAGACCAGCTTATGCAAGAAGGCAATGATGATGTCATCCCGTACTGCATCGCCACTGGTGAAGTGAAAAAGTTGGTGAATTTCTTCACTTCTAGAGGTCAGCTGAAAGAAGCTGTGCTGGTGGCTCAGGTACAGAGAGCTGCTTTCTTTTTAAGAGTTGTTGTAAGACTGTGAACCTCTGTGCTCAGTGTCATAACAAATGAGGCTATATTATAAATGAGAATGTGCTTTGTTCTATTAGGGTGCTTGTGAGGGCAATATCCATGGTCCTCAGATCACATCAACAAACTCAGACAATGATAGCATAGAGAAATACTGTGGGTAAGTTATACATAATTTAAGCCGTAAATCAAGTATTTCACCTCTTATTTTCTCACACCCTCTCCCCTTCTTTGTCCAGGATGTTGCACAGAGTGTGTAAAGACCTGGCCGAGTGGTATTTCCAAGATGGCCATGCTGTTTTGGCTGCTTGCTGCCATCTAGCTGTAGACAACGCAGAAGTAAGCTCACCTGTAGCAATATTTAAAATCAGACAACTTCTAATATTGTCATGTCAATGTTAAGACAATTAAATAATTAGAGAACATGATGAAGCCTATTCATTACATCAATTTAAGATAATTTCTATTTTAATATATTTTAAAATGTAACTTGTTCCTGTAATGGAAAAACTGAATTTTCAGCAGCCATTAGACTTCAGTGTCACATGATCCTTCAGAAATCATTCTAATATGCTGATTTGCTGCTCAAGAAACATTTATTATTATTATCAATGTTGAAAGCAGTTGTGTTGCTGTCAGAAAAACAGCATTTTTTTTAAAGTAGAATTTCCTCTTACCTTTAATCAATTTAAAGCCTACTGGCTAAACAAAATAAAATAAAATCTTACTGACCTCAACCATTTGAACAGTAAATTATGTATATACTGTATATATATATATATATATATATAACACCCAGGAACTTGGTGCTGCTCACCCTCTCCACAGTCACACCATTGACGGTCAGAGGAGCATGCAGAGTGCGCACTCTCCTGAAGTTAACAAAAATCTCCTTCGTCTTCTTCACATTCAGAGAGAGATTGTTGTCACTGCACCACCCGGCCAGGCGGCTCACCTCGCTCCTGTAGTTTGTCTCATCTCTGTTGCTAATGAGACCCACTACAGTCGTATCAGCAAACTTGATAAGGAGGTTGGAGTTGTGTGACGGTGTGCAGTCGTGGGTCAGCAGAGTGAAGAGGAGGGGGCTCAGCACACATCCTTGGGGGGCCCCAGTGTTCAGTGTGATGGTGCTGGATGTGTTGCTGCCGACCCGTACTGCCTGAGGTCTTCCAGTCAGAAAGTCCAACAGCCAGTTGCACAGCGAAGTGTTGAGCCCCAGCTGGACCAGTACAAAAACACTGCGACTCACAAGACAAAAAACACGAAAACACCTTTCTGTCGGAGAAGGATGGGGTGTTGCGTCCAATTTTAGAACTGCGTTAGTTGAATCGCTCAGTCATGCGACTGAAGTTCAGGATGCTCACTATCAAACAGGTCGTGTCTCAGATCAGGTCCGAGGACTGGTTTGTCACGATAGATCTAAAAAATGCATATTTCCATGTCTCCATCCTTCCTCAACACAGGAAGTTCCTGAGGTTTGCTTTCGGGGGCGAAGCTTACCAATATCGGGTTCTTCCGCTCGGCCTTGCACTCTCACCCCGCACTTTCATGAAGTGTGTGGATGCTGCTCAGGCTCCACTGTGACTCCAAGGCATCCGCATACTAAATTATATCGACGATTGGTTGATTCTAGCTCAATCAGAGCAGACGGTGGTTCGACATCGAGATGTCGTTCTCGCCCATATGAAAGAGTTGGGGTTAAGACTAAACGCAAAGAAAAGTCCAACATGATAGCTTTTGGCCTGCTGTACATGAGACCCCTACAGTGGTGGCGCAAGACCAAGGGGTTTTCCCCGAGGGGAAATCCGCTTTGCATGATCAAGGTCACACGGCGATGCTTTCGTGCCTTGGACATATGGAGGAAACCTTGGTTCTTGTCACAGGGCCCGGTGCTGGGAGTCCTTGTCATCGCGTAACGTTATAGACAGATGCGTCCCTCACCGGTTGGGGTGCGGTCATGAGTGGCCACCCTGCCTGTGGTCTGAGGAGCGGTCGCCATCTCACTTGGCACATCAACTGCCTGGAGATGCTGTTATTTTAAAAGCAACTCGAGTTTTAATCCTTCTATAACTAATATTCAAAAGGCGGACCGCATCCGCACTCCGGCATCCATCCGGACTGCGAGCCGTAGCAGCACCATTTTGTGAGCAGCACGTCAAAACAGCGGAGCGGATCACATAACAAGCACTCGGGTCGTTTATAGTAAATATGTTTCAGCGCTATCTAAAGCCAAACGTGCTTTATTCAAGCCATTTCAGCTCCATGCGCTTTCTCTCTCTCTCTCTCCGGACGCGCGCCGGCGCAGATTACGTGGTTATTTTAACAACAACAGAAACACGGAGAGCAGCAAAATTATAGATTACTTTCACTAAAACACAGCAGAAAAAAACAATGCTGAAAATATAGTTATTTTTCTTACTATCTATTTATCTAACCTATTCAAACCAGATGTGGCAAGACGTTTCTGATCTACATTTAGCATTATTAATCTGGCTAAGAACATTTAAAAAGAATCATGTAATTATAATTGGAAAATTGTTGTTAAATGGCTAGGATAGAACGTAAATTTTGAAACTGCTGGTTATCTTTCTTTTCTGCTCAAGATGAGAACGTTTTGATTATTGTAGACATTTTTAGTAGATAATGCTTTTAAGTAAAATATTAAAATAGTATAGATTTCGGGAGGAAAAGCCTGAACAGAAACAGTATTTTTTGTCACATGGCCTCACATGTAGGCTATCTAAATGCAAAAATTCAATACATGTAATTTATTTATTTTTTTGTCCGGACCTCTGCTTGGAAAAAAAATATAGAGGCCGCACCTCTTGGAACTTTAATTGAATACCCCTGACTTATATAAAAAAAGAAATAATTTATTTGTATGGTTTTGTAATATCTGTGCCACATATTTCCTTATGTGTCATGGTAGATAGGACTCTTATTATAGAATTTGATTACAGAAAAACTGTTTTGAACAATGGTAATGGATTAAAACATAAGTAAAAGGCTGGATGTACATTAACCTTACATCTTAACACCTCTTTTGAAAAAAAAAGAAGAAGAAGAAGCAGATCATATATTTTGTCTATAGCCTAAAACAGCTTCGTAAATAGGAAGATTTCAATACATGAGGATTCTGAATGGAATTTTTTTAGCAAGCCATTAAATGACTTGAGACTCGACTCGGACTCGTGACCAAAGACTCGAGAGAGGATGAGGACATGAGGATTCTGAATGGAATTTTTTTAGCAAGCCATTAAATGACTTGAGACTCGACTCGGACTCGTGACAAAAGACTCGAGACTTCACTCAGACTCCAGCAACAAAGACTTCAGAATTGACTCGGACTTCAGGTTAAAGACTTCAGACTTGACTCAGACTCCAAGTAAAGACTTGTGAACATCTCTGCTAAGAGCTGTTTACATCCCTTGGCATCTCAATATGGGAGCAGACATCCTGTCGAGGCAGGGGCCGAAGCCCGGGGAATGGATGCTTCACCCTGAGGTGCTGAAGCAGATATGGAGAGTCTTTGGCCAGGCTCAGGTGGACCTCTTTGTGACTCAGGAGTACTCTCTGACTCGTCCAGCTCCACTGGGGCACAGATGCCATGGTACAGACTTGGCCGAGGCTTCGTCTGTATGCTTTTCTCCTGATCATTCTGCTCCCGGGAGTTCTGGAGAGAGTGCGCCCGGATGGGGTCCGTCTGCTACTAGTAGCCCCATTCTGGCCAGGCCGAGTATGGTTCTTGGACCTGATTTCCCTTCTCGATGGCTCTCCATGGGAGATTCCCGTCAGGAGGGATCTCCTCTCACAGGCGGGGGGTACCATATTTCATCCCCGCCCGGAGCTGTGGAAGCTGGGGGTGTGGCCTCTGAGGGGGCACAACTCGTAGCTTCTGGTCTCTCAACTGAGGTTGTTGACACCATCCTCCAATCCAGAGCTCCCTCTACGAGGAAACTGTATGCCCTGAAGTGGAAACTCTTTGCTTCCTGGTGTAGAGATCGCCAGCTTGATCCAGTTAACTGCCCGGTCGGTTCAGTGCTAGAGTTCTTGCAGGCTAGATTCTCTGCAGGGTTGACCCACTCCACCCTGAATGTGTACGTTGTGGCTATAACTGCTTACCACGCCCCTCTCGGTGGTCAGTCTGTGGGAAGACACCCCCTGGTTGCACGTTTCCTCTGCGTTACGTGGAGGTTGAGGCCTCCCGTACGACCTCATGTTCCACCATGGGACCTGGCCTTGGTCCTGGAGGCTCTCTGTAAACCTCCGTTCGAACCTATTGAGGAGGTTTCAGATCGAGTTCTGACACTTAAGACTGTCTTCTTGCTAGCCATCACTTCACTGAAGAGAGTCAGAGATGTGCAGGCCTTGTCAGTGGCGCCCTCTTTCCTAGACTATGCACCCGGCTAGGCCAAAGCTTTTCTTTACCCCAGGCTGGGGTACGTCCCTAAAATGCCCTCCTCAGTACCACGGCCCGTCGTACTTCAGTCTTTCTATCCTCCCCCCTTTAGGGAGCCTGACCAGCACTGTGAGTACTGGATACATATGTCCACAGAGCTGCCATGTGGAGGAAGTCTGACCAATTATTTGTTTGTTATGGTCCTTCCAAGAGGGGTCTGCCTGCCACTAAGCAGACCCCCAGTAGGTGGATTGTTGATACCATTACTATGTCATATGAGTTCTCTGGCCTTCCCTCACCCTTAGGGGTCAAGGCTCACTCCACCCGAAGTGTGGCAGCCTCTAAGGCCTTCCTGTCGGGTGTGGCTATGCAGGATATATGTAACACTGGTCTACACCGCTCACCTTCGTCAGGTTCTACGACCTCGACATTCGTACCGCTCCTGGTTCCTCCGTCCTCTTGCCATAGTTGTGCTGAAGTCATACACACTATGTAGGGACTTGAAAGTCTGGCGGCGTGGGCATCTCGTTCCCAAAGCGTTAGACGCAGCTCGAGTTCCTGAAGGGGAATGTCTCAAGGTTACGTATGTAACCCTAGTTCCCTGGGGGAACGAGACGCTGTGTCTCCTGCCATACTTCCGGCGTCCCTGCGAGCGCTTCCCTCATTCTCCAGAAGCTGCCGCTGTCTCCATCTCACATGCTTTTATAGCTTCCTGGTCACACGTCACCCCATCCGTGACGTCGCACCCATTCATTGGTCTGATTACACACACGATTCAGAGCATGGTCACGCTGAAGACGTTCCCAAAGCGTTCGACGCAGCGTCTCGTTCCCTCTGGGAACTAGGGTTACATATGTAACCTTGAGACGTTTGTCCACTTTTCCCCTGTACTTTACTCATGCTGAATTGGGTCTTCTACTCCCCAGGGATCTTGCTGCCAGATTACTCCAAATGATCCCTGATAATGAGACCTTGTTAGCCAAACTGTGTGCCTTCTACCCTGGCAGCTCTGCTGAAATCAACGACCTGCACGAAAAGGTAACTACTTCATTTATACATCCCAATGCTCAACCTTAACCAAATAAAAATCATTCACGCATTGAGTGTAAAGAACCAAACAAGAATGTATAGTGTTTATTATTTCAAGTGAAAATGGTGAATGTTTTCTGCAAAGGCAGACATTCATTTAAGTATAATTATTTATAATAATACTCTTAATTTTTTTCAGTGTGGTCTACCGACTTTAGAGGAATGTAAAGAACTTGCTGAAAGTGCACATGCAGAGGGAGAAATCTTTCAAGCAGTAAAGTATTACCTCCTGAGCCCAGAACCAGAAAAAGCTCTTCCCATTGGGATCATGTATCTCAAAGGTGAGTGTCTGTTGATATATCTGTGTCTAACTTTTTCAACTTCATATTTCATTATTCATACAGGTGCATCTCAATAAATTAGAATGTCGTGGAAAAGTTCATATATTTCAGTAATTCAACTCAAATTGTGAAACTCGTGTATTAAATAAATTAAATGCACACAGACTGAAGTAGTTTAAGTCTTTGGTTCTTTTAATTGTGATGATTTTGGCTCACATTTAACAAAAACCCACCAATTCACTATCTCAACAAATTAGAATATGGTGACATGCCAATCAGCTAATCAACTCAAAACACCTGCAAAGTTTTCCTGAGCCTTCAAAATGGTCTCTCAGTTTGGTTCACTAGGCTACACAATCATGGGGAAGACTGCTGATCTGACAGTTGTCCAGAAGACAATCATTGACACCCTTCACAAGGAGGGTAAGCCACAAACATTCATTGCCAAAGAAGCTGGCTGTTCACAGAGAGCTGTATCCAAGCATGTTAACAGAAAGTTGAGTGGAAGGAAAAAGTGTGGAAGAAAACGAGAGAACCGCAGCCTTATGAGGATTGTCAAGCAAAATAGATTCAAGAATTTGAGTGAACTTCAAAAGGAATGGACTGAGGCTGGGGTCAAGGCATCAAGAGCCACCACACACAGACGTGTCAAGGAATTTGGCTACAGTTGTCGTATTCCTCTTGTTAAGCCACTCCTGAACCACAGACAACGTCAGAGGCGTCTTACCTGGGCTAAGGAGAAGAACTAGACTGTTGCCCAGTGGTCCAATGAGAGCAAGTTTTGTATTTCATTTGGAAACCAAGGTCCTAGAGTCTGGAGGAACGGTGGAGAAGCTCATAGCCCAAGTTGCTTGAAGTCCAGTGCTAAGTTTCCACAGT